TAGTTGATATAATATAAGGACGATAATAAAGTGAGAGAAAAAAAAACCAATAGTTAGTGGGGCTGAGGAAAAAAGAAAAAAAAAGACCTTCCGAGCAGATGGGAAAAAAAGAAAACGGGAAAAAAAAATTCGTGAGATCTGCTGTGTGCGGAGACTAGGGGTAGCCCCACCATGGCAGGGATGCTAACGTATCTCGGGACTTGCGCACTACCAACTAATCCATTCTCTTGGATAGTGCTTGTTAATTCAGAATGGCTGCTTGTCAACGGGTTATCGCAGGTGGAAAGACTCGAGCTGCAAACCATTCGGATATCTGCGTCTACGTCGAGATATATACAGGAATAAAGGCGTGATCGATCATCTTGACAATATATCTACCATTCTCTGGCGGGAGTCGACGTTTGACAACTGGTTGATACCTTGCAACATGCAGGCGGGTGGACATGAGCGGGCTTATTAGCAGCAGCATGACTGCATATCCCCGTACGTACAAAGTATAATACGCATGACGGTATGGATATATTGATAACCTGACAAGTCACAGCTGACCATCAGGTTGGCCGATTGACTAATGATATTCCACAAACAACAAACAGAGCTGGCCTTCCCTGCCAACTGTACTAGTATATCCTCAAGTCAAAGCATCCAGCAACTAGGTTAGCATACCTATCATATCTCCCCCTAACTTTCTATCGCCCCAGCTCTGTACCGTCTAAGTACGCAGTACTCCCTTCCAGCTTACTATATTGGTCGACAATCGGAAGATTGCCGCGAACCGCCATGGCTGCTGCATGCGATACCTACTAATAACAGTACCTAGTCGGAGAGTGCGTGCCCAATGCCCATGTTGACTTGGGTCTCGGCACTAGATGAGACTGACCCATCTGAAACCACTTGGAGCTGCATGACGTTCAAGACAGCCAGGACTCGAGTCGTACGTCGCTCACGCGAGAAACTTCCCCAAATGCGCGGCCTCTCATTGGATCACCGTTGCATATCCGTCCGCCAATCTTCCGCTCATCAGAACTACGGCTGGGTCCTCCACCGAAACAGATCAAGATCGCGAGCCTCCCTGAACGATGGAATTGGTTCTCCTCGTCCGCCGGCACAGCCAGCCGCTCGGGTTTTCCCTCTCCAGCCTCGGAAGTTCTGATATGCGATCGATTGTTTTATCCCACCTTGGAAGCTGAAGTTTATTATTTGTAGTACATCACCAACCACCACCGAAACCACTAACCTAACTCCAAATACCTATGAGAGCCTGACTCACACCCATCCATCCATCCATGCCGCCTAATAACAACCTTCGTCATCTTTGGGCAATGGTTGCCATGTTGCTGCCTACTCTGTTTGTGCTCGCGTCCAAGTTGTCTGACCACCAATTTATTTAGGCATGTCGAGCGGCCAGCCCCCTCAGCCAACCAGATGATGCCCGATTGCCCTCATTTGGAAACATGTTGCAAGCGAACGGGATCTGTTGTCTGTGCCACCGTCTTGGAAGTTAGGCTAGACCGTGTGCGACCGACTCTTGAAACTGTCTCTGTCTTTGATCGCCGTGGAGGCCCCACCGCATATCGTAAATGAATGAACGACTCGACGAGGGGAAGAAGTCAGATTATGTGCAACACTAACTACTGCACTCCATGCGACAATTCCCACGTGCCGATTGTCATAGTAAAACGTAGCTTCCCGCAAACATGTCTGCCTGATGACTGATGCCTTGGTGTTGGGCCATTGGTAATTATTAGTCGCGACCTAGGTGCTAGGTAGACGGCATCGGGTCAGTTCAAATATCGAGCATGGAGACACAACTATTACGATTCCCATGGATTCAATTCCTCTACTCTCACTTCTATACCGTGCTAATTATATCAACTTGTATGTAAAACAACCAGCCTACTTTCTTTTATAAACTATGTAATAGAATAATCTTAAAAGTTGCGAGTCGTGAGCTGGTAAGCATACATGTATGTAGGCTCTAGTTTAGGTAGTTCCAGCTCTATAAGTAGCTGACTTGAACCCACTTCGCTCCGGGAGTAAATCTTAGCAAGCCGACTACACACGTCCCTTGGCCGATTGAGGAACAAACGATCTACCGGATACGGAAGGCCTACGACCACGTAGATCAATAATTGCTGGTAGTAGTAAATCTAGTTACTGAGTCGAATAATGATCTACTCTTTCCATACGTCACCGCAAGCGCGATTTGTACAGCCACTTGCTTGTTATCTACAGGATTGTCATGTACGGGATATACTGTGTATACCACTTTGCTACAAGCCACTAACCTAAGCCCATCTTTTTCAACGTCATACTCTTCTTCATCCGGGGCAGCTGTGAGAGCGATTGGCAATTGGATTGAATTTCGCAGATAAGCTGTTTATCCACGAACCGTCCACCTGGAACACGTATTATGCAGCCGCTGCGCCCAGCCTAATAAATTCCGGTTGGTCGGATACCCAAGCTACCGGCATCCCGTTCCAAGCTAATATCGGGTATATTGTCTTTGGGTAGGTCTAGACCTGCATTGGAGGTTATTTTTGTTTCTCGTTTTGAAGCTTGGAACTGCCTGCGCGGCGTGTTACGTACATCCTTTCATATTTCTATGTATTATTTGCCAATATAACAATTGGATGAGACGCACCCATTGCAGCTGCTACGCAGTATTCTTTGTCGTCTGATGTTTCTAAGTATGGTTGGCTCATCTGTGGCTGGCTATACTCTTATTAAAGACGTATCATCTGCAACACATATAATTTAGTAGACGAAGGGCATTGAAGATATTGTTCTGTAGTTACTATTGCCCGAAAAGCTTTAAAAGTAAAATGAACATAAAGCCTTCTAAACGTCATGTATAATTGAGATGCGGTTGTATCTAGCTCAATACTGCACTCTGCGATCTTTTAAAGATAATAATGATCATGTTTGACAGAATCGCTTTGGTTAGCTTTACTTGAGAAAATTAGGAGAACATAAATTAGTTTAGTCTGTAGTTAAGAGCGATATAAACAGCCAGGTACGGTCTATAAATGTAATATTACCTAGTATTAGCTGGTATAAAGTTGTGTGTGTTATGCAAGGATGATACAGTCAGGCTAAGGCTCTGTTATACGACTACTGTAGACATAGCCACGTTCTGATTTCTCCTTTACTCAGATATACAACTGAGGGCTTCTTTGACTAAGCTTGAAATATGCACTCATCTAGCCTTGATTGATACCTTGCTCAGTCGATTTAGTTTCTAGTATCCTTACCAGTCTTTCAGCTAGTGACTCTTGTAAGGTATGTGTATAGTCTATTACTAGTTTCACATTGACCATATAGTATAGGTTGATTTAATATTGAAAACATCTCGATATTCATAAGCATTTCTGACAGCCACAAGCCATCGAATTGAAGATAATTTTCCCTCTCCGAGTTATTGGTTGTCGTGACCTAGTTTATTAAATAGAGAGCACCCGAGCTATTATAACAGTTTCGAAGACATGAATACCCATTGAACAACAGTTGTCTATTCTCAAGAGCCTTCAGTTCCAAGTGATTTGAACATCGTTTTGAGTAGGCAATTGTGTAATTGTTTGAATACCTTAAGTCAAGAGTAGCTTGCTTCAAAACGAAGATGGGATTCTTGGCTCCTAACGCATCGACAACATAGACTTATTTGCCAGATACATGAGATCCTTGCTGGGTAACAGTACTCCAGCTTCCTCGCCCTTTGCTGGTCTGAATCTCACTTGAATATACCATGTTTGTGCTCGAGCTGGACAAGTTGAACTGATTCCAGGGCTCATCCCGCTTGTCCTGTGATAGCCACCGGTCGATAGGTTTCATAGTGCCAGTTCCCAGATCTGTTTGTGAACCTTAAGGTTAGTCATTGATGCTTCAATCTATTTGTTCTTGACTTACGTTCCTCTCCCCCCTTTGTCGATTGAGTACTAGAGGGAGGCATAGCTTGCGGCTTGGACGCTGGGTAGTATATAAGATATATCGAAGGACTTTGGACAACTACGATGTTGTACGTTAATGAGAACAGCAGGTGAGTCAAGTTGCAAATCGCTTGGTATCAGACTGGGATTAAATATTCATCGAGTTGCTAACTTATCAACGGATCAGACCACCATCATCTCTAGCATGAGCCTCCTTCTAAGATCTAACTCTGTTCTCTTGGCCAGTTCATCAAGGGCCATTATTCTCATTGGATGTCAGTGACATGCCACGGAGCCTCAAAGATGTGCATAGTTCTCCTCATCACGATGACACTTACATAGGGACCTGGTTGAGAACCAGTCAGGATAACGGCCCTCGAGTCTGATCTAGCGAGGGCCATTTAAAGAAATGGCCCTCCTGGCTAGATGTACTTTTCATGTTCTGCCTCAGGGTGCCTCAGGCATGAAAACAGCAGCTGGCAAAGGCGAAGTTGAGGGCGATTATTGTGAACCAATCGGTAAACCAAGCCACCCGGATCGCACGCCATCAGGTGTTACGACCGTAGTCGCCAGTCATCGCCCAATGAGAAAATTGGCCCTCCGACGTTGTACTACGCCTCAGCCAGCCTGGTTTACCAACTTATTATAAATACGACCCCTCTCTCCGACACCCATTTTCATAGTGACGGCCTCAAAAGGCCTCCTTCACACCTTCGGCCTCTTTGATAGGGAAAGAGAATGACCCGGCATTTCGGCTCACTCTCAAACACAAGAGTGCATGCTCATAACCTCGATCTTTTTTCTGTGTCAGACATGTGCTGGAATCGAACAAGACGGGGTTCCAATTCCATAGAGTCCTTTAATATCTAGCTACTCGGGAGGGGAAAGTTTACTACATAAAGTTATTTTCTTCACAATAATACATATAGAAATGAACGGAAAATTAATATAATTAATTCAGTATGAACGGGGCGAGAACATAGGTTTGTCTTGTTGGGTTGGAAGCGGATTGGCCGTGTCGTTAAGCGTTATCTACTCTGTTTGTGGGTAGCAATGCCATCCAATAAGATAGGTGCCCTCGTGGCCTAATGGCTAAGGCGTCAGACTTCTAAGAAAAAGTCATCTGAAGATTGCAAGTTCGAGTCTTGCCGGGGGCTAACTTTTTCGCATTAGTCACAAATAACCTTTTTAAACCCGTGTTCTCCTTAGATCCGATGATAGCCGGACAGTAGAGCTAACGAGGTAAGGGTGAATTGATCGTACTACTCCGTATCGCAGGATTCCCAGACAACGTGTGGGTGGATGGAAAGTTTGGGAGGAATTTATTTGGAGTAGTCTATTATATAAAGCTTTCAATCAATAAGGCAAGGTTTTATTTACCTAGTAGGTATGTCAACGAGGTCCGTTGAAATTCATTTTGTGGAGCATTTGTCGTGATATTATTGAAGCACACTATGAGACTAATTCGACCTTAGCTGACTGTGAATCTTGTACCCATCATAGGTTTTACGTGCATTTTATTGTGCTATGAACCCGAGGGATATTGTGTAGAAATGCTTCATATGAGTATTCTAAGCCTATAGCATAAGGCACTATTACGCGATGAGATTTCGAAAGTTTGCGACCCCTTGAGAGGTTTGCCATTTTTAGCAAGTGAATACCTCGGGCCCTGTGTTTTTCAATTAGGAGTTTCAATTCTTTAACATGAGTGGACACTAACGTACCGGGGATCTGGTAAGGGTTGCTAGAGCTCGGGGGCTTAGAATAGATATCAATCAGCAAGCCGGGGTCGGTTGCCTGTCAAAGTGTCATATATTAGTTTTTACCATAGCATATAGAAGTTCGCGGGTGACTGGTAAGCTAACTTACCTTATATATGCCTGGGATGTTAGATGTGTCGGGCTTCTTGGACCCTGAGCCGCCACTGATATTAATCTGGGCGCATTCCATCTACAAAGGCATTGGTAAGTAAATATGTCCATGACCTCTCGATATATCGAATATTGAAGCTTGAGAGGTGCAAGGGAAGACTGACGTAGAGCTGAGCTCCATTTGCTGATCGAGCACCGTGTAGCGCGACCATCTCGGCGCGAAGCAGATATTGGCCGTCTTCGATGCATTCAGGAATCTTGATCTCCTGCTTGCCAGCGTTATTGATAACTGTGTCGGTGCCCCAATTGCCATTTCTAAAACCCTCTTCCTGGATCTTGAACCTATATGGATACCCAGTTAACATGTGTTTATCTCTGGAAATATGTATGACTGCTGCCGAATGGCTGCCTAGTGCTTGTATGCAGATGCTAGCACTTACCAGCCATTGCCAACGCCGCTGTCCGTGGTTACATCTGTAACTTTCTTCAAGTATGCCATGACCGGACCCTAAGGTGCCATGATATATGTGTCAGTTTAACTGAGCCAAGAAGATGGATTGTTGAGCTCATATTACCTTATGACCAGGGTCCATGACATCGTTGGCACCAGCTATTTTTATGCGAGTTAGTACAAACCCCTTGTTGCAATAGTGATATATAGCCTGTTCCTACATTGCAGAGTGTGTCTCCAGACGGCGTTCACAGTGCTTCCAGCCTTCACATCAATAATGTCGCTGGATGGAGTGGTCGGGTTTGGGGGTCCGTTGCAGGCCAGATTATTACCGCTCACGTCACTTTGTGGCTGCCAAGGTCAAGGTGTCAGCAGTTTTCTACTGATTGTAGAAATGTATGCCATCCTGATGAAAATGGAAAAGTCCTCTATTTTGCGTACCCCATCGTACGAGGGCGTACGGATAGCATGTGAGACAGCTGGGTAACACGTTAGCAAGACACCTTTGATATGCTATGTGATATTGGACTTACGGTAGGTCTGTTCGTCTGTTCCAAGCTGACAGAAGATCGTGTGACCTGAGGCCACGGAAGCCAGAACGGCAGTAGTACTGAGGCTAGATATCTTCATGACGAAGGCGAAGAAAAACAAAACTTCGGAAGATTATTAATTAGAGCAGGTACCTGATAAGTGCGTAAAGGGAAATCATTTGGAAGGGAAGCATGCCGGCTCGAGGTAAACTCGTTACGATTCTCGTAGATATACCACAGATATCCTGCAGTCATCTTTCAAATCATCTGGGACATCGTGTCGATTTGGTACTTAAAATTGTACCAGACTAGAACTCAACTATGTAGTATAGAGCGAACAAGCAAAGTACCGAGCCCACTGCCTACATCTAGTATAGAAGGCGGCCAATGAGACTGCGAACTGGCAATAAGAACAGCGGCGCGAAGATTTCCGTCACGGATTAGGGAGTTTGAGTAGCCACTCTTGATATAACCGGCATTGTGACCCCGGATCTGCGTCGGGTCTATGGAGGACTTCTACCTATCAGAGTCCCCACGCTTAAGCTCCCCAGGATGTCAAGCGTTATTTTCTGGGGAACTGTAGGAACCACGTACGATCGTTTATGAGGCTTACCCTAGTACTTATCTCCCCATCCTATTGGATCTACCTTGCATGGGTATCAAATATAAGATATTGTAAACTCCCACTTCGAGCGTTTCAACAACAACATATTTTTTAGAAAGAATGGGTGTACGGCTTTAGCGTTGTTTGTTAGGAACTGCTCAATCAGTTTGTCTTGTCCTTACATGAGAATACTAACATATGTCGCGATGTTATTGGTGTCGCCGCCTTTGCCTTAGGCTTGCTGCTCAGGTATTTTAGGTAATTATACAAGATGCCTTGAAGTATGAATAGCTATCAAGACTCGAGAAAGAGATTGACAAGGTTTAGGAGATAAACTCAACTGGCGTTCAAACTGAATGAATGATTATCAAGGTGCTTCACATACTTTTTCAGCAGGATCATTGTCTTCCCAGCTACAAGAGAAACCACCTAGACTTTACATCTTTTTCAATCTTATTAGACAGCTTACTAGTGATCATAACAGCCCCTGTATGATCATTAAAAACACTGTGACTGCAATATAATGCAAGATCAACAACTGAAGAACCATATCCTATCATAGAATTAGGTAGCTTGTTCCCCAGCTTTATTAAAGTTATATCTTTTGATGTGTGTATAAGTTAGTTTGTATTATAATACTCTCTTGAATGAAGAATCAATATATAGCCTTATATCTTAAAGCACTGTGCCTAAGGTATCACAGTTACAGTGTGTGCAATGATCATTTAGATGCTGCCGTAATTACTTTAGTTAACTAAGTAGAATTGTGTAAAGGTCTAAGATCTAAAAGATCTTTTAACGGCTTAGAAGGTCTCTTTTAAGTCTATGGATCTCGGAGCATAAGGCACCATAACTAATACCCCTATTATCGTAACATAAGAATAAAATGGAAAGAATTATTTAGAATGAAGACGTCCTAAATTATCCAATTTCAACCCTCAAAATTCATGAGCAGTCACATAGTGTGTAGGGCGCTATTTCTGAATCTATGATAGTAGTACTATCGAAACAATTTCTTTTGACTGGGTAGATTAGCACTATGCATCGCCCAAAAGTTACCCTGAGCAAGTACCGTTGTTGCCAATAGGCCTGAGCTGCCCTGATCTGCCATCAGTCCTCTTGAGCTGCTGATGCTTCAACCCGAGCTAGGAGAAAGCCAGCGGCACAGCCCCAGGTGCCTCGTTTTCGGCCACACTGGCTAACGTTACCATTACAAAAAATGGAAACAAGCGCGTAGGGAATTTGGGAGTTCCTTATTCCGGGTCCATGCACTCTATAGAAGCTTATATGTTTTGGACGCGGACCCGGGCCCAGAGGCTCTCCCAGATATTGCCCAAGTCGATAGGGTCAACGCGGACAATGACGTGCTCGATATGGTTAAGTTGGTCCTGAATAGCTTGGATGGAAGGCATATTATTTTCAATGATATACAGTTCAAGGTGATACAGAAAAGCGTGGTACTCTTAGGATAAGTTATACGTTGTTACAAGCTATTCGATAGTATACTCGCTGGATATTATGACAGGGCTACGTACGTACTTGACTAGCCTCGGAGGTCGGGTACGCATCCTCTGTCTATCCTCTATATATATAAACGATAGAAAAGTCCTTTCCATCCCTTTACGTTCATGTCTGCCTTGTATCGCCATATACATGCCGCATAAACCATCACCGAGGCCGCTCCGCGATCTTAAGTGAAGAGAAGCATGTTAACACCCGTGAGCGGCCCTTGCCGTACCACCTCTCAAAAGGGCACCAAACTATCAAGACCAGCACTTGATACTCCTATGCTGACATATTGGACAGGGCATCCCGCACCTGTAACTCGAGTGGAGCTCGTCTAAGGGGGAAGGGGGAAACGCCCGCCGCCTGGAAACACCGAACAAGGAACCCGCGTACGGTGGCAGAAAGAAGGCACGACTGCGAGGAGTAATTGACCCACCGAATGAGAGAGCACGCTTTGTAAGGCTGCGAGTCAATCTCATGTCATCATTGCAGAGCTGAGCACCTGCACCACTTCGTTGTATTTTTCCAGGAGTTCTTTCTGTCGCCGGAGGTCTCTAGGCCAAAATCTCCATTCGTCCTTTACCGGGTTGTCCCTCTCTTCGATAGCCACAGTTAGCGCCGTCTGGCCATCGTTATCCGTGGAGTTAAGGTTTATACCGTCGGCTGCGATCAGCACCTTGACGCTTTCCACATTGCCCGACTGCGCCGCGTACCACAACGGTGTCCGACCGTTACTGTCCTGGGAATTGACGTCGACTCTCTCCCTTGCCACCTGCAATAGTACCCGCACACTAACCGCCTCATGCGAACCACGGACGGCAGCAGCATATGAGAGTGGAGTCCTGCCGTCCTTGTCTTTCGAGTCTGCATTGACATGGTCCTGGGCCAGCAAACCTGATATCACCCTACTACGACTACACATAACGCTATAATTACCAAACGTAGACCCTGACCCTGCGGCCCATGAGAGCGGCGTTCGGTCGTTTACATCTTTCGAGTCCGGATCCACGCCTTCTTTGGCTAGAAGTAGCTCCATAGCCTGGTAGTGACTCCCTCTGGCAGCAACAGATAGCGGCGTCCGGCCGTCTTTATCTTTCGAGTTTGGATTGACACCCTCGGCTAAAAGTAGCTTTACGATCTCGTAATGACCGGTTTCGGCGGCGACGTATAGCGGCGTTTGGCCGTCTTTATTTTT